GAGTAGACCGTATCATGAAAGCTACCTGTACCGTATAGCTTCAGCTTGACTGAGGATGTTAATGCCCCTCAGACTGGGTGCGTCACCTGTCGGGAGAAGCTGGCTAATGCTAGCATGGTGCTAAGCATGTTGAAGAGGACCTTTGAAACCAAACATCCCTTTCGCGCTGAGAGAAACTTCGCCTACTTTAAAAGAGCACACAACCTGAATTAGAGGCAGCAAGACCGTTTGTTTCTAATTCATTCTTGAATTATTTTGTTACTAGTTTTCAGAAGCAACAAAAGGGGCAGGCGTTAGCACCTTCATGCAACATGCAAACTCTGTGTGAATTTTCAGGGTCTCCCTATGTCAGTGTGTTTTCTCAGGGGTTCTCTGGCTTCCTCCCACAGTCCAGAGACATGCAGGTTAGGTTGATTTGTTACTCTAAATTGTCCATAGGTGTGAATGTGAGTGTGAATGGTTGTCTGTCTGTATGTGTCAGCCCTGGGATGGTTTGGCGACCTGTCCAGGGTGTACCCCGCCTCTTGCCCATTGTCAGCTGGGATAGGCCCTCTCTGTCATGTACCCTTGAGAGGGTAAATTGTTACGGATAATGAATTAATTAATTATTAAATATATCATGAGTGATATAGTTATTCTTCAAATTTTATTGGCATTAGTGAATTAAAAAAAATGTACAGAGTGATAACACGTGTTATAAAAGCTGATTTGCACGGATAATAATTCAGAGATTTTGGCTTGCACTTTGATGAGCCTCGGGCACAAGGAGTTTGAAAATGACTGAATTAGTCAGCTAATTGTTTTAACTTTATTTAAATAGGTAATCCTGCTGCATATTTGAAGTGCAGGCTCATCAGCTCACACACCAAACAGTCGGAGGACCTCCTGCTTCCTGCCTGTCATCATCAACAAATAGATTTGACTATGTAAATACAACTTAAGCAGGAAATAAGCATATTTCATCATAAAAAAACAGGTCAGTTTTCAAAGGAAGTTTTTAAAGAAAATCTCTAACAATCAATGTATTCCAGCACTTGCATCCATAAAAGTTATAGAAGTTAAAATAGCCCATAAAGCTCAGGACTTTGTAGCTTTGCAAAGCTCGTGCCCAGGCAGAACTCGTCTGATTTAGCCCAGAGGTTTTCCTGACTAGGAGCGACTGCAGGGGCAGGGAGTCGGTGTATGGTTGGCCAGTGGTTACCACGGAGACACAGGCCCAAGGTAAACAGTAGGAGCAGTGTTCAAGCTGAATCGTGCAGTGTCTATCCCCAACGTGGAGGGCTTTGGATAAGCAGCCTGGAGTTAATATAAGAGTCTCTATTCATATCTATAGCTCCTTGCAGAAAGAAGAGCACTTTATCCACCGCTTTGGACGAAGATTGGGTGGTGGCACATTTCAATATTATCTGAAGCAGAAGTGAAGGGGGAGTATTGTGCTGTATGAATTGGAGCTACTGGTTTCTGAGAGTTGTGAGATGAATTGTATTTGTGTGTACAATAGCTGTTTTGATAGCGTCTATCTCCTGAACAATGAGCAGTCTGTGAATAGCAGGACATACGGTACGAATCAGCAACAGTTGGGGCCAATTTATTCTCATTGTACTACACTCAAACAACATACTTTATGGTATCATTACTGACCACACACATGCATGCAGAGACACTTGCACACTCTTTACTCTCACTTTTATAGATAATGTTTGGATTTATTGCCTTGAGCTTTCAGAGTTGTTTCAGAGTTGTTTTTGTTTAGGACTAATCATGAATTAGTCAGAATTAGACTCACTACACACACTAAAATTCAATTTTCTATTCAGGTGGATGTGTTTGAAGGATAATTCTGGTGATACTCTTTACTTTTCTTAGTGTTTTACTCTTGTAAAATTTGTGTTTGCTTTTAACTAGGGTTTCAGCTAACAATTATTTTTATTATTGATTAAAGATTACTTTCTCGATTGTTTAATTTACAAATTGTAAAAAAAAAAAAAAAAAAAGCTAGCTATAATCCCCTAAAGTCCGTGTTGATGTTTTCAGATATCTTGTTTTGTCAGACCAGCAGTTGAAAAACTCTGTTATCTAGAAATCTCATGTCATGTATCCAGGGTCAGCTAATCTATTCTACTTTTGTGCCGGTTTTTCAAAGCAACATTGGATCAGATCACCCTGATCTAGATACAAACATTTCAAAATTATCATATTCGTAAAACCATTGCTTTAAATGGGACTATGTATCACAATGTAGGCAGTTTGTCAATGAACACACTGCAGCTACCATTTAAAGCCATAGGTGCCATTGAAGAAAATTAAACGGCGATCTCTGAGAGTGTAATTTAAAGCCTTTCACTACAGTAGAAAAAAAAAATTCCCCAAATAACTGTCAATATAAAAAAAAAAGGTTTTTAATAGAAAGCCTAAAATTTTGTTCCTGAAATCCACCTGAATCCGGAGTTCTACTGGGATCAAGATCATTCTGATTTTTTGGGATCAGCCAAGGTATCGCAATCCTACTAAAAAGTTCTGAACAACAGAAGATGAAGGTTTGATCTCAGATGGAAGACTGGATTACATAATCTAATCCCATTTCAGAATCTTTTTTTTTCTTTTGAACAACCCATTTTCAAGATTTTATCCAATCCGACAGTTGAAATCCAATACGATAACTGAGCCCAGGAGTCTTCATAGATAATCAAATAAACAGTCTATATTGCCCGGCTGTTTAAGGAAATTATTTAGCCCTTTTACAGAAGAATAAATGTATATATTTGGGACTTGTTTTTAAAGATTTACCACTGGGATTAGAACCAGGAGTCACAGATATAGCTGGGAGGTCAGATTGTATTAGGGTACAGTCACTAATGAGTGAGTGCAGGCAAGTGACTGTCTCCTGCTGAGGCAGCAGGACATATTCGTGCTGAATGGAGCAAGTGCAGGATGTGATGCTCACAGAAAGCTAGCTTGCCAGCTAATGTTAGCTAACTTGCAAAGTATGATGTTTTTTACCCTTCTTTGTTGAGAACTTAATGATTATAAACACTATGGCACATTCTCAAAGTCTTATTCATCGAATAGCATCTGTCTCAGGTTAAGCAAAGATAAAAGTCAAACCTAAATAAAACACAAAGAATGGAAAAACAGGGCCATCACAAATTAGCTCAAACATATCTGGTAATGAAAACAATGCAAGAGCTTTCTTGTCTTTTTACAAGTTTTAGACACTTACTCAAGAGTTTTAACTCATTCTTTCAATGGTTCTAACTATGATTAGTAGGCATGTAACGATATATCGATATCGATATCGATATATCGACTGTGCGACTACATTCCCCATAATCCTTTGCATGCAACTGCGCACGCAGGTGAGAGCAGACTCGTGCAGCTCAGCCTCTCAGCCTCCGACTCTGACCCGTGCGTGACCGGAGAAAACAGCGAATAAAAGTAAAGAGATTGATTGTTCTTCTCTGTGGATTTTCTCCGTGACTGTTCGTCATAGCGAGAAGCCACACATATCACGTGAAACAGCGGAATCATGGCTTTCCGACAAGACCTCACTTGTCGGTAGTCCAATGTTTTCACAGCGAAAAAAAATGATAAAGTTACACTAAAACAATGTATAACAGAGCTTTCATACAGCTTTGCACACACATTACTTTTGGATGGATTACTCGCGAATGCAGGGTCGCACAGAAATGCCATGCATATCACATGAAAGCGTAGGACCAGAGCTTTCCTCTCCTCATCTCCTGTTCTGAGAAAGTGTTAGGGTCTCCTTGATGTCAAGATTGTCAACCTGGCGTGAACAAACTGAGTGAATGTGTGTTTTTGAGTTTTTCTATGACTTCCAGGGAAATGGCTGGGCTTTATTTATTTTGGTTTTCTTTTACACACATCTCTACCCACCTCTCTCTCTCTCTCTCTCTGTGTCTCTCTATGTATCGGTGAGTGAGGGATTGTGTGTTATTGAGTTTACATTATTTCTAATTTGTTAATTTTGTTGTTGCAGGGTCTGATTGTTCTAAGTTCTGTATATTTGATGAATATTAAGACTACTCTATCCTCATAATTTGATGTCATTCAGATGACTTTCTAGTAATAGTACTACACTACTTTTGTTCAGAGTAGGTTAAAAAATACTGAATGTTTCCATTTTCATATTCTGTCACTATGGTTTCAATTGACATGACTTTGTTATGGCACTTTAATGTCTGCCTGCCTAGCAGTAATAGGGGGGAAATGAAAGCACATGTTCAACTGTGTGTTGATTTGTTTATGATATGCTTCCAAGTTAAAAATAACATGCTGTACAGTGTACATGCACTATTTTTGAATAAAATAGCTATTTTTAACAATAAATTTTCTCTTTTATCCCCTTGTATAAATATCGTGATAATATCGTATCGTGAGTTTCTGGTATCGTTACATCCCTAATCATTAGTCTTAAAGTATTTGCATTTGTGCATGAAAACCTTCCCCAATAACAAGACAATATTGAGAACAAAGTCCATGTTCTTGTTTTCAACACCAACACCAAATTTGACTGTCTCCCTGTCAAGGTTGACAACTTAATCTCTCAGGACTGTAGCCAGCACTGCATATTGGTCCAGAAGGACTGCACTACAATATCGGCTGGTTAGACACAGAAACAATCATTGTCTAATCCACACACTTCCTAGCTATTGGTTAAAGCTGTGACATCACCAGTCATAGTTCACCAAAGTTGACTTCCACGTGATGGGTAGTTGTGGACTTGCTTTGCTGTTGGAAGTAAATGTTTTATTTGCCCCTTCACTCCCATTGAATGCAAGTGAACAGGAGGTGAATATTCGCCAATGTTAATTTCGCTCATACTTGATCTTTCCCTTGAGACGGACTAATACATTGTTGGTTTATTGACTAAAATAACTCCTTCCTTGTACTTAATGGTAAATATGTTGCATCATGTAAATCTCTGTCAGCAACAGTTTCCCAGCTACATCTTTTCTCCATGTCTTTTTGTGTCCCAGGTGTTGGACAAACATAAAGCCATGGACAGCATGGTGGAGCTGCTGCAGGTGTACCCTGAGGAGGACGAGGCATACGGAGAGCTGCTGGAGGCGACGACTCAGCTCTACCACTACCTGCTTCAGCCTTTCAGGGACATGAGGGAGCTGGCAATGTTGCGCAGACAGCAGATTAAGGTAATACACACAAGCACATACACACACAGATACAAATACCATCTGCTTTAGGGCTTGATTTAAGTAGGTTTAGACCTAACAGTAGCCGGCTAACTGTCCTGGAATACACTTTGATTGCGTTTCACTACTACAGAGCACTCAATCAGTTACAGTGCTATTCTTGTGGTTTTAAAAGCCATGGTTAGTGCTGCGAAAGGAGCCCTGAACCACAGCATGGTAATGTCGTCCTCCGAGCTCCTAAGCCCACTGTAATGACATTAGTTGCTGAGGATACATGTGGTGGTGATGATGATGGTGTAGTAGCTACCCTGTAGCTTTGTGTTTGGGGGCTGTAGAGGGCAGAGGATCAGCCAGAGAGGCTTTTCCCCCCCTCCACCCAGAGCGGCTTAACAACCAGCATAAGTATTATTACAGCAGCCACTAAACCACTTCGTAATTCTGCAGCCTCAGCACACTCTTCTGTTTTCCACACTCTTTCTCCACTCCATCTTTGTTGTTTTTCTTCATTAGAGGCTTGAAGAGGGAAGTAAATCCACGGACTAATCTGAACTGTCTCATAGAGCTGGCTTCAGTCTCGACACATGCCTGGTTGGGTCAATAGGTCAGAGTCCTTCATGCTCACAGTACACTTGTTCAACATTTAAGTCATTTCTTAACAAATGCTTTGGATAATTTTAAAATACAAAAGGAAAATTTATGAATTTCTATTTTTCTTTCTGACTATGAGTTTGAAATTTTCCTTACAGCAATACAGCAACAAAACCATACTGGAAATGAATGAAATGAATGAAATTGGCTACATTTATCAATATGACCATGTTACCCAGGTCTTATGAAGGTGCGTGATCAAACGGGTGGGGTGTTTACCAGAAAAATATCAAAGTCAAAAACGTACAAGTTATTAGCCTAAGAATTTACAGAAACATTGCGTGCAATAGTCCACCTTCCACCTTCTCCTCCCCCCTGTCACTTTTGCTGTTTTCTCTCAAACACAGAGACACAGACACACACACACACACACACACACACACACACACACACACACACACACACCGCAGCACCAACTGTCCCTGTCCTCAACTCATGTCTTGTACTCTAATTGGCTGTAGCCCACTGCTGGGTCCCTGACATGTCCAGATATGTAGAATGCTAGTTATCTGGGGAGTGTCTGCAATGCATCCGTGAGCCAAAACAGTTTGCACACAGCACTAAAGCTCCGGTTTGTGAGCGCTGAGTGATTAACGACTTGCCTCTGATCTGGGGCTTTTGTCAGGAGCTCCAAAAACTGTTGGCGAGCAGAAAGTCAGGGCCAAGGTCATGTGGTGTGAACTAGGCATAAGTTAGCATATGATCAGTAGCATTAAAAAAGCTATTTTGCCAACGGAGTCTGGAACAATGCCCAAACAACATAAAACGCAACGGGGCTAGCACATGTTACTTACAGCACACTTCATGGAGAGCAATGAGGGCAAAACTGCAAATATTCTCTGGTCCAGCTCAGCTAAAACACAAAAAAGTTGCATTTGTTAGCACGTAGTCTATCATTTACTACTGAGCCTGTTCGTAACCGATATCAACATTATCTTAACTTCACCTCTTCTTACAGACGTGAACTAACCACAGACACTTGCCTCATTCCTCCCAGTGGTGTGCCGCTGCAGAATGCAGGGAAACACTGGAATAGATCTTTGGCATATTAAAACATTTTTTTTTTAGCTTAGCGGGCGTTCCCATTGGACTGGAGACCCTCCAGGCCTGTACAATTACAGGAGAGACACAATGAAATAGAACAGAAGTTGGAATTTTAAATAAAATGTCAGGCAGTAAATGTAGTGCATTATATAATTAATAGGGAGTGATTTTGGATACAGCCTAACAGCCTATCAAAGTTAAGTAAGCACTGTGCACAGGTGTGTCCATTCCACATAACCTCATGAGTTCAAGGTGCAGTCCAATCCAGCCGGCCAGAAAAAGAACAAAGGAGAAAATCAGTGGTAGAGAGAGGAAACAAAAATAACAGGCTTATCCAACAGTGTGAAATAACATCAGCAGGCCAAAGTCTGTGTCTTGTTCGTCAGAATAGTCAAGGAATCAAGTTTGAGGTTTTCTGGACTGTGCAACCTGTGCATGCTTTGATATTATGTTACACAGTACTGAGTGCTGTTTAACTGGACACATGCTGTCTCTGTATATGTCCTCAGACACTCTCTGTTTCACCCCTTTGTTGTGTTGTGAGTACTTTCCTGTCTCTAAACTACATTCCTTACACAGCATGCTCATCCAGCATCATGTCACTAACCAGCACAAGGGACTGTGTGGGTGTGTTTTATGAGTGTGTATTGCAGTATGATGGTATTTGGCTTCTTGGGTGGATACTGATCTAAATTAAGACAGTTCACTGAATCACACACACACAATTTGTGTAGCACTTTTTTTAAAGGATGAGTCTGCTGATATTTGATATTTTTATTATGGTCAACAGATCCCACGAAAGGTCCCAAACAAGCAATGACTTAATCTGCTCATTAAGTATTGTGTGTGTATCAAAGCTTGATATATCTTCTTCCTCTGTGCCTTAGAGCTCCATTGTTGCCCCAAAACTATTAAAAATACATCAGTGAGTCACACTGTTGCACTGGCTGACATATTCCTTCATTATCATTAACACACACACACTGTAGTTTATTTTGACTTAATCCTACAAATATAGTCCTGCTGCCATAAGTATGCACTACAGCACCACATCTAGATCTGCTGCTGAAATTAGTCCCTAACAAATGTTCAACAGTGTCCAGATGTTGTATTTAATTATTTAACCTTTTTACAGGACACTGTATTACATTAGAGTTGCAGTGATCAATTTTAAGTACATGTTACCTTACTGCTCAGTCTCCAAACAAAATACTTTGACTTTCTATTCCAGGCTAGGCAAACAAAAAAGGTTCTCCTTCTCAAACATAAGTCAAGTTTTTCATGGTCATCTGACTAAAAGAAATCAACATAAATGGAGGACATTTTACTCAGTTTCCCTCTTTTGTTTAAATTACACTTAACATAAGGCTCTACACTGTGGCTGTTGTTTATAAGACAGTAAAATTGTACTTGTGGTTTATACCATATTTCAACAGACCATTTTTCTCTCAACATAAAACATTTTGCTCCTCATCTCCTGGATATTACAGAGTGATCTGTTCTGGGAAATGAACAACAAGTGTTAAAATAAAATAAGTAAAAGAATTTCAACTCAGTGTCCAAATTGAGTACCTTTTTTGTTAGTTTCTGATCAGATATCTTCACAAGTCTTTTCCAAAGCCGAAAGAATTTGACACTTATGTCTGATGTTTGGAGGTTCCCATTCTGTATCTCCACTAATGGCCCAAACTGAAGTAAATTTATGGACCCCCAAAAAGGATCACTAGAAGCGTATGGATGCTTGTTATGGCTACTAGTGATGGAGACATAAAACAAATGCCCATGGGCAAAGCACCTGTGGTTGAAGCCGTCCTTGTCATGTGGATTGATAATGCCTGGTAATGTAATGCAACAGCTATAGCTCACTGTATTTTGAAATGGTCAGTAAAATTTAGTAAATAGCTAGGCTGTCCTCTTCATAACTTTATATTAATGTAATAAATATACATTGCCAATTAGATGGTAATCTTCATGAGAAATAAAGAAAATGAAACACATCCGTTACAATAATCATCCTCTTATAGTGATCAATTTAACACGACAGATGTCATTACTGTAAACTGTGTCCACTTTATTAAATTGCTTGTTTTGTGCGACCAGTAGTCTGACCGCCAACATTTTTTACTTTCATGGAAGACTAAAATAAATGGTAAATAATCAGAATTGAAAAGCAACAGTCAGAGAAATTTTTGCTTTAAAGATAATGTATTAATCAAATACCAAAACAGTTGCAGATTTGATCAACTGCAATAAGACAATTGACTAATCCAACCATATTTTGTAAGATTAACAGTCTTGTTGGTATTGAAGTAAAAGGTTTATTAAAAATCTATACTTTGTGGAAAATGTAAAACCTTCCCAGAGATCCATCTGGACATGTGAAGTTTGAAAGACATGGGCATTTAGGAGACAGAGAGGATCTAATGAAAGATACTTTTGAGTTGCATTATTGGAGTTGTAGTATCCGCTGTTTGTGGAGCTACTAGAAGCTAAGAGTCATGATATCTCAACCTTTGATCCTTCAACTTTTATGTGTCCTGTGAGTCACCCAGCTTTATAGAGGTTTATTACTAATGTGCTGGAAACAGATGGATCAAGTCACTGTTACCTGCAGACTGGAGGTGTACAACCCCCTCTAACCATTCTGCATGTTTCTGATGCGCTTCATGAAGCTTTCTGAAAATCTGAACTCTGTACGATTCCAAAGTTTCCAGCTTCACCACCTGCTCCCCTCAGGGCGATCCAACGGCTGAAAACAAAGCTGTATGCAAATGACTCCTTAATGCTGGCAGAGGTGGTTGGTTTCTCTCAAACTGATGAGTCAGGGGATCGTGGAGATCCTCCACGCTTGTGAAAAAGGGAAGGAGAGAGAGTTGGGAATTAGGACACAAGCTACTATCATTTACATGTGGTTTGCATCCTACTTAATGTCACAAAGGTGAGGTGAAAAGGACTAGAGCAGCCGAGTATCAGTTGCTTGATAGAATTACAGGCTTTCCCGACTTCTTCTGCAAGTGTGAATACATATGGGACATGTGTGAGGCTGAAAGACAGATGAGTTAAGATTCAATCAACCAGAGGCGTCAAACTGTAGAGGAAATGTTGTACAGAAGGGTTAGGAGGAATCAATACTGTGTTTTTTAGCTGTGATATTTCAAGGTTATTGTATTCAGAGGCTACATGAGCTGAGTTTTACATTGAGTTAACAATGTTTTTCATTATCAACTGATGTTTTATTTTCTCTGTTAGCTGTTTGGTCTTTAAAATGTCAGAAAGCAGTGAAAAAATGTCAGTCACAATCTTCAGAT